TGTTTCCATTGACGAATGGCGATGGGGGAAAGGGTTCATAGGAATCAGAACAGCTTATCTTAATAAAAAAAGGGTCGATATTAAAATGTTCTTACCTCTAGCGGGCTAACTTCTATTCAAATCTGCTCATTAAAAAATGACGCTGAAACTCAGGCTGTTAATAGGCTACGTATCCAAGTAAATATGTTACCTAGACCGATGTTTTTGCGCGTAATTTAGAAACGGGTCTTTGTTTTATTCATATTAAATAAACTCAACCTTTGGCTGCTATGATCCTCGTTTTAATTTGTGCCACTAACATAGAATTTTACTCGTATATTTTAAAAACGTTGTGTATCATGGTAGAACCTCCTACATCCACTTGAACTCATTGACATTACGTACAATATTAGACTTGCAAGTAAAATACAAAGAGGCACATTCTGCAGTGCATTTTCGATTCATGTATATACAAAACTGCCTCACCATCCTCTTCCTTCGTCCTTGTCGAAGACACTGTCGCTGGCAAAAACACGATTATCTGCCCCCCCCCACGCTCCAGCCACCTAATTCATGAACAAGCCCCCCAGTAGTAATAGCTCAACAAAAAGTAGTATCAAGCGCATAAGTATAGTTGCCGTAAAGTATTCGCTTGTTGAAAAGCTAGTTGTAAATTGCGTGGAGTACGTTCACACTGTTGACTCCCGGAGGGGAGGCAAGGCAAAGCAGATATGGCAGCCCTAGTAGCAGAGAATGGAACTGAAAACAAGTGAGCTAGATTAAGACTTCTACGCTTAGGCAACGACACGGTGGAGAGTTTTGGGCAGCAGGCGTCGGCTTGCCAACATGCGACTGCTGCTGCTGCTTCCGCCGCCGAAGCGACCGCTGGCGTTGGAGAGTAGGTTCATCACCTAGGTTGAGCTGAGTTCGGTCGATGGTTTATGAAGCACTTTTATATCGACCAGTTAGTTCGGTTGCTGTTTTTGCGGCGGCCTGGCCTAGGCAACTGCTTCAACGCAAGAGAGCTCCAGAGGACGTTCCATAAGTAGTCATTCCACTAGGACTCACACGAGCTTCTGTTTTTCCTTCGCTCTCTGTCTTCTCGTTCTGTAACTCGTTCGGGAGAGCTGGCACTGCCTGGACACCGCAGAGCCCCTACCACTTTTGTCTTCTTTTACTTCATTTACGGGAGCCCACATGATCTAAGTCCAGCCACACCCGCTTATATATTTAGCAGTGTGGGCTACGTAAATCGGCCTGCGACCAGAAGTCGACGACACGGAAAAGCAACCTATCGAACCGGAGTAGGTGAACTGTCGCGCCTCAACATGGACCAGGAAATCAGCGGCGATGACGATGACAATAACAGAATTGAAAACGGGTACCGCGAACCTTTGTATCTGGTACGGTTTTTGTAACCGGAGCTCTGTTAGAGAACAACTTTCTCACAAGAGACAGCAGGCAGTAGCAGCGGGGTCATGGGCGATAAAATCTCTCAATCTAACTGTTACACAGATAGACCAGAGAAGAGATTAGAAGACAGCGAGATAAGCTGTGCAAAATATAGATGGCATTGGACTACGATCAAGAGAAAGACAAAGGCGGAGCAGGTAGCGATCGTTGCTGACCCCTTTGACATATATTATGTCTCCCCAATTATAAAGTGGTAAATACTGCGGTAATATTCCGTGAGGCATACGAGCAGATGGTTAGCCGTAATCGACCTGGATACAGCGGTGGTCATACCCGGGTTCCGGAGTAGCGGTAGCAGCATGGGCAGCTGTGATCCTGATAGCACTCGTGATGGAAACAGTAGCAGTGGTAGAAGAAGATACCAAAGTCTTTACATAGCCTTAAAGTCCCTTTCGCTTCTAACTTTCTCGGTTGAAAGCGTAAGTGAATTCAAGAACAGAAGTGAAGGGTGGATGTATCCGAGATAAACACACACGCACGACCGCGTCAAACCTTCCGAGGTTAGCAGCAATGAAGAATGATCTCAGATGGCGTCGAGCGAGCTACTGATCTCGTGGATATTACTCTCTGTAAGCACTAGGCCAACTTGGCCTAAGGTTAAGTTTGTCTTTGAAAAGCGTAATACTAGAACACTATGAACGACGCGGCAAGAGCGCTAATTTGTAGTGACTCCAGTATCTGTCAAGCCTTGTCTCCATTAACATTAAGCAAAGGTCTTTCGACTAACACGCTGCTTCTGGCCCTCGAGCAACAGTCGAGAGCAGCCGACTTCACTCGTTGCTTGGCTAATGAGAAGGGATTATATACTCGGTGAGCTCAGACAAGTGACTGAATGGATGCGGAGCAGATACGGATTGGCGACGAAAAGATATGCAGGGGTTAGAAAAGTCGGGGAATGACAGAAGCTAACTGTTCGCTTGAAAATCAAGTGCACGCTGCTGCTAGCACCGCTGGTACGCAAACTCATAGTAATGTACTCAGATATATCTCCAAGGGCTGACGCCAATGGAGGGGGCCTAAAAATACACACTTAAGTGCACCTCTTACGTACATGTCTCAAGATCCAGCATGTATAATGGATAAGGACACAGCTTTGGACAAACATACTTGCAGTAAGAAGTTATGCAACTTTATGATTGCTAGAACAGAAACTCTTTACAGTTAGGTCTGCAAGTGAAAATGTGTGAACATCAACATAGACAAAGAATCGCCAATTGCAGCTGATCTGTAAAAAAAGGTAGCTAATATATGAGATGCTTAGTCATTCAGAAGGTTTCTATGTTGAATTGCATAATTAAGGCCATGGATTACTCTATACGTTGACGCTTCGGTCTGATGCAGCATTACGTAATATTATGTCACCTTCAGCTAACAATAAAAGTCTGAACCCTCGTTCGGATTTTTCAGGCCAGCGCTTGCTTTAGGCTGCATAAAAAAGAGATTTCAGTCAACACACAGATTAAATTTCCTTTTACGTACCAAGGGTCGGCATTTTTCTACGATACGTTGTTAGAAGCGTTCAGTGTTGGGTCCATTAACAACAATATATGTTTAACAATGATGTTAACGTTTGCCTTTAAGTGTCTTCTTGGCAGCCAGTTTGTTTGCACGTGGAATATATATATATATATATATGCACTCAACAAACGTAAATTTCCATCTATATCTCCCAAGTGGCTGGTTTGCCTTATAATTTCCAAGAGCTGTGTTCTGTTCACCATCTGGCGTGCCTTCCACATCTTCAAGGACGCGGCCATCAGATCGTTACGTATTTTCTTTCCTTCTAAACAGAAATAGCTTTTATTTATTATCAACGCATAGAATCTGCCTCGTGGTTTTCCCACGGTTGTGTTAGGTGTTACCTCTTTTAATACGTGTGCGTCCTCCTATTGCATCGCATAACTTGTGCTACATTTTTGATTATTTATTTTCTTTTCATATTTAGGACTATATTTAATTTTACTTCTTGACATTGGAACTGTTACTTAGTATCTGGGTCTACGTAGACTTTTACCTTCTTAATGACTATATTTTTAGTCGCGATTTCATTATCTACTTGATAATTTAAATGGGCGTGCTAGAATGATTCTTATAAACCATTCACATTTTGAGTTTTTTTGTCAGTCCTCCAACAGACCCGTTGTGCGAATATATCAACGCAACTGCCGTTAGTATAATTTTATAATCTGTACTCATCAAACGGGACCATAGATCATTTCTATGAACTATTTTCTTTTGGTCGCAATTGTTTATACTTTCATAGTTTTTTATGCGTCATCAACTATCGCTATTAGGACCTAGCATCACTTAACTTAATTATTTCTGCTATTCGGCCGGCCTAACCTCAGTTCAAACCTTATCGTTATCTAGGGCCTTAGATGAATCTTGAAATCATTGCCAATTAGAAAATCTCAAATCTCGCAGCTGTTCAAGCGAACAGCTTTCTTTCTAAACCGAAGTATCAAGCTTTTAGTGTCTCTTTACTGGAATGAGCCATACAGTATTTTTCTCTAGATATCGCCATCCGTAAAAAAAAACGCTCTGTATAAAGTTTTTAACAAAGCAAAGTTTGTTTTGCTAAGAACCTTATATAAAAACTATATATATATATATAGAAAATGAGCCTTGGTAATTTACAAAACTTACTGCTGAGGCATACTGTCCACTATAATTTCTCTATAGATATGACCTTCTAACCTATTTAAAGTAAAAATATAGAAACTCACTTATTATCTAAGTAGGAAATTAAATACTAGATTAGCACGCTCCATTTTTCGTACCTTTCGTTGCAATCCGATTATTAAAATCATTGTCCTCTTGTAGTTTTTAAATGTTCCCCTGTAGCGCTTCTGTCGTTTCAAATGGATGAATAGTTAAACGAAGTGTACGTTCTCCACAACCCCTCTGAACACATTTAACTACAAAATGTCTTTACCATAAAACTGTAACTAATAAGCCGCGTCTGTTTTTATAAGATTCATGAAGGACAAAATGTGTCAGAAATCTTCTCTCCTATTTCCGTTTTCGGAGCATAATGACTTTGATAGCATTACATTAAACCACAGCGTCTTGACTCGCTATCTGATCCAGAACGATGTTCTGTGGTGCCACATTTCTACCCTTCGGTAATAAGATTAAACTACAAACCACGTTATAATCATTGGAGTTTATTTATTCCGTAAACGGTTAGTTAGTAAAGTAGATTTAAAAATAAACTGACAGTAAAGCTTTTTTTTTTTTTTTAGCTATTCCTTAAACAGTCAACCGTGACGAAGCATAAGGAACAACTTCTAACTTTGGATTTGCATAATAATCTCATCGGTGCATTTGTGCAAGCAGTTTTATGTGGTCATTCAGGTTTCGTAGCTTTCGTACGGATTAGCGTCAAGTAACATCGTCAACACTGTATATGGGCTTCCGTGGGGTAAGTCCGAATTTAACGCTTCGCAGAGCCTGAATGAGATACGCTTATATCCACGTGTGGATATCACTTTGTGACAATATATAACTCCCTATTTATACAATTACGACAGTAGTACAATACATACCTGCAAGCTTCTCAAGCTCGGAATAGTAACCGTTGCCAAACACTGTAACGTGCTGGGGGGCTGTCGCCGCCTCGGTTGGTGATCCCGGCCCATCGGGTTCAAGGCTCGCGGCCCAGCGCAGCCTGTCGACCCCTGCATCCGCAGGCAACTTCATCTTTTTGACCAAAAACGACCGTGGCATCGGACCTGCCTCTATCAGCAGTCAATATCGACTACCAATCAAAGGATCCAGGGAAACAAACAGCAGGTCGGAAGGAAAAAGGCCAAATCTGGGCTCCGAATTGATGAGCTCAGTGAGACAATGCGATACGTCTCGGGTGGTCCTTAGGTCCGGCAAGCTCAAATCTTCCTGTGAAAGGCTTTCCGCTTTCTGCTGTGATAGGACCTGTCACGGCATTAATAGTTGGTCATTTGAGATTTGTGTCATTCGTTGTTTTAACTCTTTGCTTTGGCGTTATACCGTTCCTTGTTACTGCTTTATTACTGTGCACTAAAACTGTAACTGATTTTTACACCATATTAGATTGTTCTATGTTCTGATTTTTTTAAAATTTTTCGTAATTTTCTTTTCGTTTCTCTTTTGCGTGTCTCGAACCGTTTCTTCAGGTTCCTCGAGAGAATATCCCAGTTACTCAGTACTTTGCTTTTGTTTGCCTATCTTCGTATCTGTCGTTGTTCTCGTTACGTTATTGTAATTGCTGTAGTCCTTGATAAAGCGTCAGCGATGAAATTGGGTGATGGAGGGGTATGGATAACGGGCCGGGACAGGGGATTCTCGCATGGGAGGTGGTCACATCACAACCGTAGCACTGGGTACGACCTCAACATGCACCAAACGTCACGACACTGCTTCGTACATCCTGTACTGCCGCTTTTGAGGTCAAACAGATCATCAACTCCTGCCGTAATGCTTGATATTTGCTCTTCTGATAATGGCTGTTTCGCTGGCGTTCGGAGTGATGCGTCTTCCACGCGGTCTTCGTTGGACCAATGTCCGCTCGAATAAAACGGTCGGTTAGCCGTCTCCTTAGTAATAATGGACGCTTCCTTGTGGCGATTTTCCGTTATGTGGCATGGACGTAAACAATAAGAAACTGTTGTCGAATTGCAGTTCCTACTTTTTTCCGAGGGAAGCCAGTGGGGATAAGCAGCTTTCAATGCGAGTGAATAACAAAGTACAATTGAAGCAACTTAATGTCACTAAAGCGCTTTAAGGTCATCGGCAGTGTCATTAACTTTTACACGATGAACCCGTAGGGGTGCACAAACAACACAGTAAAGAACGCAGGCATTCACGGATTAGCCCCCGTCCTACTCGTCTCTAAACACCGACACCAGAGAACGAATCCGAAGTGAATAGTGAGAACAAGGGGCCTTAAACGACACTGAGAGCGCGGGCTCTTTCACAATGATGCGAGAGGACCGATGAGACGCGCACACTAGATAACGAATTAGGCAATGCTATCGAGGGGAAACAAAGATGTGGGCCTCCAGTGTCGACAACAGGGGGGTTCCAGCGACTTGCACGACAAGACAATCCACACAAACAGCATTAAACAGGATGCAATTCTTGACCGATCCGTTGTAGCAATGATAGTGGATGCAGCGGGAGCCGTTGTTGACCGACGTGTGCTTTCGCTGTCTACTTTGCAGCTGCTGTTTATCTCTTGATATATACATGTACTCTATATATATATATATATATATATATGTATATATATATATATATATATATATATATGTGTGTGTGTAGAGAATTTTCAGTGTATGTCTAGGCGGTGGCTGCAGTCGCGAGGTGTGTCCGAAAAAGGTGATTTGAATTTGGCTACATCAAATAAGAACGTAGACGTCATTGCCGCCGTTATCGTACTGCAGTAGTCACAGTTGTTGATGATTATTGCTATGAAGTTGATATTATTCTAAAGATATAATCAAGAGGCGGTTGGCTTGTTCGTCGTCGTCTGTTGGGCAGGAGTTGTGGCTCTGTTGTGCTCCCGCTTGCTGACCCGTCGGCTGACTAGAACCCACGCATGCGATCCAACAAGTCGTTTTGGCCTCCCTCGCGCTCCATTTCCAATATCACCATCACCACCATCGGCACTACTACAGCAGGCACCAATGGTACAGGCCTGCCCCAAGCCTAGCAGGCGGACAGGGAGCCAAACACACTTCGTACGGTGAACGTAGACGGGGCGATTTAGAGTATAGTTTTGAGGACTTGACCACACGCCAGAGGGCGTTGCGGTCGCTGTTCGAGACTTGCTCGTGGCCTCGTTTCAGGGGAGGGAACGCAACCCTCGAGCACCATAAAAGTATAGAGAAATAGAGAGAGAGCGAAAGTGGGCAAAAATACAGAAGGAAGTGTCTTGTAATGCCTTGACTGGGCTAGTTGTTGGTAACTTTCCTGGTGGGAACAGTGAACGAGCGAAGGAATCATCAAGCGGGATTCTCCAACGGAGATGTTATACTAGGGGGGCTCATGAGCAATGTACGCGAACGTTCGCTGAGCAGAAAGAATCAGACTGGCCTGTTGTAGAACGAAAAGCAAAGCGCTCATGGTGGGAAACCAGAATCGTAATGGGATAGAATGGCAAGACAGAAAGGAAATCGCTGACGAGTACCACCTACACAGACAACGACTGACGGTTGGCGGCTGCCAACGGCCGGAAACCTGCAACGATGGCGGCGACGATGACGACAAGAAAAACAGCGAAAAAACCTTTCTTACTTCCTTCGCTTTCTCTTTCTTTGAAAAGCACCGCGTGTGCTCTATCGCGTGTTGGCCAGAGCAAGCAGGCGACCACGCGGGTGCCGAGTATGATGGCTCTAGCAGGGTGGTAAGGCACAAAGGGATTGTAGAGCTGGTTAATGCTCGCGCTGCTGTTTCAGCGGGCTGATCGTAGCGCTCTGGGAGCATTCGAGACGAAGCGGCCTCGAAGGATGCAACGGGAGAAACCCTAGTTCCTACCAAACCTTCGCGAGCAGCCGCTCCGCCTTGGAGTGTACGAAGTGGTCGCTTTCCGGGTAGCACGAGAAAAAAAGCGCGTTTCAGCTTATTGTCTGCAGTTAATGACTCTGGGCAAAGAATAAGTAAGAGGGTGGGCGAAAGAAACGGGGGAACAAAGTCGGAAAATAAAAAAGAGAGCGAGACGCGAAATGGCCACGTGGGGCTAACTTACCGGGAGGTGAGTCAGACGAAGCATGCGTACCTCCGCTTCGAAGAATGTCTGCCTCAGCTCTTCAGTGCGATGCTTTAGTGGCGGTGCCAGCAATGTAGTGTGGACAGTGGAAGAAGTTACAGCGGGTTCATGTACATTCTTGCAGAATTGTGGAATTTAAGTATCGAAAAGCTGCGGAACTGTTTTTCTGGAAATATTTATTTTGATGTTCAGTTTTTCAAAGTTGTTGGTGATAATTTAAAAACATAGCATAAAGAATCATTAAAGCTTAGAGCAAGAATAGGTCCGCTTTTGGATAAAACGCAAATCTGCTGTTGAAGAGAAACAATAATATATCGGATATATTTCGCATTTAGCGGTCATTGGCCTTAGACGACACATAGCTAATTACCGCGTCCCCACTATGGTAGGATATTTTTCGGCACAAATTTGAACCAGCGCATATTCGTATCATAAAGGTGCAGTCTCGCGTCTCCAGGCATAAACGAGTGATTTCCGATTTTTTAATCAAAAACGAGTAAAAGAAACAAACAAGAGGTTGTCAAGCTAAATCTGTGTACCCAGTTTTTTTCTACCAATGTAACTGTTTCAGACTACCGTTACAGCGTGTCAACGTCCAAGGTTCTTACGCTAGTTCTACACTATATTTTCCACCATAGAATCCTTCAGAAGTGAAGGGCCATAGTCAAATCGAAGGAAGCTAATTGGAAAAATATCGTCGGATTATATTATACGATAGCGTCTTGTCTCGAGAACACATGAGGGCACAGCACTGTGGGGCATAGCCTGGTTTAAAAAACCTTTTTCAGCTTAGGTGAAGCATAGGCGAGCTCGAACCATCCGCCACTGAGGATTCGGTAATTAAACCGCCGTGTGTCATTCCGATTTCACCCTTGTCTCGGCCTCTCCCTTTCTTTCATCCGCTGTTGGAAAGCTTATCGTCCTTTTTTCAAATATGTTGTAGATCGGTTTCTCCGTTCCCGTCTCGCTTCTAGCTCAACTTAATTTTCAGACACGTTTTCAAAGTGCGACACGATAGTACGAGAGAAAGACCCGTACAAGGCCGGCCTAGCCCGAAATAAGGAACTAAAGCACTGGTCCTCGAAGGACTAAGTGACAGTAGGGCTCTTCGTTATCTCAAGACTCAGCTCAGCTTAACCAAGCTGCGCCCAACATCTTAGACTATCAAATAGGCCCTTCGGCGCTCCTTCGTCGTAATGTTGTATACGCCTCTGTCTCTCAATCATGCATTCATCCACTACTCTAGCCACACTCGCGTCAACCTCTAGCGGTGTTGATTGGTACCCTGCCGTATGACGTTTTCCAGCGTCGCGGTACGACTTATGTCTTTGCTGGCAGCGCCAAGGTGCACCTTATTGGACACTACTGGCCCTTGTTAAAGTCGAAGGCTGGGAAGCTCAATCTGCACTGAGTCCCGCTGCTGTTGTTGTCTTAGTGTGATAGTTATAGTGAAAGCGTCAGCTTTACTGCGAAAGCTTTACTTTGACGACGTTACCGTCATTGTCGTAACAGTCATAACAGCAACGATTGCCTCCGGTTCTCATCGCCAAATCCGGGGGTGCTATGGATGTCGCCGCTTCTCGAAGGAAATTCGTTATATTTCGACGAGAACACGAAGCGAATCATCATCAACGGCGCTACTATCAACACTATCGCCATCAGCATTACTACAATATCATCGCTAACCTTCGCCGATCGTCCGTTTTTATCTGTCTTGTATGAACGATTTAAGCTGTACATAGAAGATAGCAGCAGCTCAGCTACTTGTAATAGCCGAGGAATGGAGAAGGCTAGTAAGTGCTAACTGAACTACAAGCGAACCAACCAGGTGAAAAACCTGCTACGAAACTGAACAGCGAAACCCACAGGCATTGCCCATTTCAAAACGGAGAAGATATTCGGGAGATACTGAAAGGCGGTGTCTTACTGAACTGCTGAAAGACTAGAGATATAGTTGTAGGATTTTGCTGGGGTCCTTCTTTATGGTAACTGCCATAGGTATGCAATTTTTCGGTAGAAGGAAGTGCAGGTGACTAGATTTTGTGATTGTGGATGCTTGAGTGAGTCCAGGTGTAAATAATTGGATATTTTTTTTTTTTTTACCTAGATAGTAGAAAATTCGAGGCTGGCAAAGATAAACGCTACTACCGATGGTGAGGGTGAGCTAACAAATATATTATCTGGTTGCCAATACCAGACGAGAGGGGATCACTGAAAAAAGCGTAATGAAATGGAATATAATGACGGACCTTTCACAGAGCAGGAAAAATATTCTCGCACAAGGGACACAGGAGGGCCTCGATTTATACAATAATGTAGTAAAATGGACAGTCAAAAAAATCAACAAAAAAAAAAAAAACATTGTATTTGTTGCCCAACCACATAGCAAATAAATTGATGTCAAAATGTTGATACAATAGCAAATTCTCCCGGTTGATTGAAATTATTAGTTGTGATCGAAAGCATGCGAATGCATATTACAGAACAAACACTAACGATTGCTTATAGGTTTCTTTTTTTTTTCGCCGCCATGCTACAGCCGCTCAATTTTAAAGTTTTTATTACCTTGAAAGATCCCCCGAAAGCTCCACTAAATGCTGAATTCTCTAATGTGACAAAAAGTCATTCACAAAGTGTATTTACTTGTCAAGCTTAGTTTCTGCACATTTACCAGAGGTGCAAAGTCATATCTACGCAAACATAGCCTTGCTTAAATTTTCTCAAAAGTACGCTGTACATCGTTAGAATGCCTTCTGCGTTTTCTTCACCTTTCAGACATTGCCTACAGAACTAGTTACTATGCCGAAGCGATAATTACAAATGTGTAAATACCCTTAACTAACAACGCCATTTATAAGCAAGTAAACACGTCTGGAGTACTGCGACCGTCAAATATATTGGTGCACCTGATGGGAGATTAGCGCATCCAATCGAGGAATTAGACCTCTGTAAACGGGAACGTTTGATATCTTCACAATAAGTGCAGCAGTGGCTATACCTCAGATAATTTTATTTTTGGCATTAGTACAAAAAATCGTGGTGCCCCATTTTTTGTTTTAGTTGCAGAGGCCTATTTCCGGTATTGCAGCATTTCTCCGCCTACTTATTTTTTCCGTTCATGTTGTTGCATTGTAGAGGATGTTTGCGAGTTTGTGACGAATAGTTTTATAGATGAGCAGCATCTATTTATAAATATCGAATTTATAATCAAAATGTGTTACGTTTCTTTCGAATTATGTGACGATGAGCTTTAGGGTTAATAAGGATATATACATGGGTTAATGTGTCAATATTTTCCCTTCAAATACATAGAACTATCTCGAGAAGTGTGCGTACAGTTACGAGGAATTCGATTATTTTTTCTATTCTACACAACCAGAAGGCTTTACGGTCATTCATATAGCCTGTGTAGCGTCCGCCAGCGATTTTTGCTTCTAGCGAGGCAAACAAATTGACTTGTGCTTCCTTTATCCTTTTGTTAGGCAAAATACATTTCAAAGGATGGTTTCCTACTGTAGAGAACTATATCTTCGAGGCAAGTAGGCCACGTATACATAAAGTTCCTTTTGCTCAATTAATCCCTTTTATACAATGGGCAGCTAGCTATTCGGTTCAAGAAGTCGGATGAGATGCGCTTCATAAGTTTATATAATAGTGTGTTTCTTGCTTCAGCAAACTTTAACACTACTAGATTTGATACTATGACTCTGCATCTTTCGAACTTAATAAGTTCCTCGAAGTAGTCTATCTTGTGAATATTACGAATCATAGTCATCTGGCTTCTTAGGGCGTAGGCCTCGACAGCATTATATGCATATACTGCAGTATTCGGACATATGCCAGCAGATATTCACAAAAGGAAGCTCATTTTTACCCAATTGGAAATTACAAGTGTTAATAATATTAGCCATCTGCATCAAATTTATAGGAGTATACGTATGAATTGACATTGTCTTATTAGCTTCAAATCACTTTGGTAGGTACCATGATGATCATCGATCGATAGTATTCGTTCAGAATATTGACGGACAATATTTCCGCATCGATTACTTAGGATATTAGTATACACTTCGACAAATTCCTAGCTTCCAGCGGTATAGGACGAACTTTCCTTAATTATTACTTAGTTGCCCGTTCCAGTATGGCCAACCTTTACGACAATAAGCCAAAATGGGTAATAGTGCCTGCGGAAGGTTAGGAACTAAGATTTATTCACATAACGGGCGATAATTATCTACTATTTTAGCTATATTTGAAATGGCATTGAGTCTCACCTGAAACTCAAGTCGTTGCATGTAGTATTCTGACCACCTTGCCACAACGGCCGTTCAATTTCCTACCGCAGACGTTACCTTAGTTGTTAGAAAGTTGATGCCATTGCACTGTTAGCAGCGTAACTCGGACCCTACATGCAATCAAGATTGGACGGCATTGGTTCGTCTTCGAGTCGACTATTATCCGGCTCTTCGGGCTCACTGACTGACGGCTCGTTGTCGACAACCGAAGCGTCAAAACTGACTTTGCGTTTTCCTCTGCGACGTCGAGGGGACAGGGGGTTCACTAGAATCGGAACAATTTGATTCTCCTTCGAGCGGTGTTTTTTCAGGGGCTTCTGGTGGTGCACGACTGCCTTTTCCAGCTGCTGAATCTTCTTCAAGAGCGCGCCAATCGTTTGTAAGTGTTCACTTCTAACTGTGGCACTGGCTTTTATTCGATCGAGGAGTTTGTATTTTTCTTTTTCTAGGCGAACAATCTGAAATGGTGCAAACTGTTTTTGTAGCTAGCTTGTTTAATACAGATGTGTAAGCGTGTACAAAAAGCGGCTGATTGCCAACAATCTATTTACAAACAGCAGATATTATAGCGATGGCTTAGTGGGCATATCTACTGCATTCAATAAATGGCCAAGTAATGTTTGAGAGAAAAATGCAAATTCTAGTACGTTAATAAATTCAACCGACTTGAAAGCATACAATAACTCTTTAAGATCATAGGCTTCAACTTCACACAAAAAAATGTGTGAAACGGTCTATCATTTTTCTTAACGGAGCAATGATATCACTAATATATTTTCATCACACTAATAATTTAAACAACGTAAAACAGCAAATGTACCTGTGCACGAAGCAATGTTTGTGCCGATTCCAACCGCTCGATAGCAACGTCCTTTTCCTTAAGTTGTTCCTTGAGTCCCTCTATTACCATCTGCCATTTTTTCGCTTCCTCCCAACGAGCAACCTCAACGGTTTGTTTGGCCTGCTTCTCAATCTCGTCATAAGATTTCTCTGCACGCTGTTGTTTAGCCTCGTATAATTGACGCCGTAGATTTTCAATATCATCTTCTAGAACCTTTATTCGTTTTGGGTCGGTCCTTTTCAGGCTCTGGATCTTGCGTAGTTGCTCGATTTTTGCGTTTTGTCGCTCTATTTCTTCCTCATAAGTTGATGTTTTCCCTTTAGCGTCATCAAGCGCACTCCTAAGGCGAGCTATCTTATTCTCTGCTGTAGAGAGCTTCTCCTTTAGCTGAGATAGTTCCTTTTCTAGTTCTGAACCTTTTTGCTCTGCACTGTGTTCTACGGTTCCAAACAAAGGGTCGGATGCAACAATCATTTCTACTACCTCCAGCGGCACCGGTGCTACTGGCTGTTTCAGTCTTTCAAAAGTTCGTAATCGCTCTTGTGCTTCCATGATGTTTTCGCGCAGTTTCTGGTTCGAGTCCTTGACTTGCTCTAATTCACTCTTCAGTCCAAACTCAAGGGTGCTAAAGGATTTTAACTTGTTTTGTAGTTGAACAATCTGAACTTGTTTCTCTGCAAGAATCTTTTCAAACGACTCTTGATCGGGGACCGCGTCATTGTCAAGAGCCAACTGCTGATGATGAAATGTTTTCATTGTAATTTCAGCAATCTGTTTTTTGGCTTGGTACAATTCGTTCATACGCGTATTCTCCAGTTGTTGGAGGTCTGAGTTACATTTGACTTTAACGGACACCAACTCTTGTTTAAGGTCAGTGACTAGCTGACGATATCTTTCCAGGGTTTGTTCCTTGTGACCAAGAAGCTTTTTTGTAGTGTCAAGTGAAATTTCCATGACCTTCATTTTCTGCTCAAGGTTACCACAGGCAGCCTGCTGCCTATTAACCTCCTTGAGCATTATGTCCTTGATCTTTAATGCGTCCTGAGTCCTTTTGAGGATATCTTTCGCATCAGCAAGTTCCGAGCATAGCTTTCGGTTGTACTCGCGCAACGAGTCCATTCGACGGTAGAAGCTGTGCGAGACACTGCGCTCCGACTCGGTTTGGGATTCTTCTTGAATCGTATCATCGTCTGAGTTTGCTCCGGTCGTTACTGAACTTTCTGCGTCGGCCTCCGATGCTGTTGTCGCAATTTGAGTGGGGTAAGAGGTTACTTGAGACTTTCGCAACTTTTCGTTTACCTGAATTAACTCACTTTCGCGTTCTGCTAATAACCTCTGACCTTTGAGATGTTGTTTACTTAATGCTTCGATTTGCATGCGTAACTTCTCAAGCATGAACATATTTTCGGTCTGATCATCAATTGCCGCCTGAGCTGCGATCGTTTGCTCGTCCTGTAAGGTTTTCTTAAGCGCTACAATGTCATTGTTTAGTTGGTATACCTGCTGTTTCAGCTCAGCAGTGTAATCGAAGTTGACTTTATATGAAAGATTTATCTTCAGACTCCTGTCCTGTGTGCCCTGTCTAAGCGCTTGTAACTGTCTGCGATAGACTTCCTGCAGGCAATCTGCGTACGCCAGCTGCTCAGCAAGTACACCCGAATATACAGAGATTAAGGATCGTTGCCTGAGAACTTGTTGCTGAGCTGATTCAAACAGTTTTACAACTAACTTCTCTTCTTCACGGTTTGCTTTTGTCGACATCCGAATGACGTCTAGGTCATTAGCGAGATTTTGATTTTCATCCAATACTTCAGATACAAACTCACGTAAAAGCTTCATTTCGATTGGCATTTCTTTCGGTAGTTTTCGCTTAATGGGTGTGGGTGGTGCAACTTGTTTATCTTCGGCTGACTTGTTATTAGCAATTAAAGGGCTTGAAGAATTTGTCATTTGCTTTGCTCCCCTCTGGTTATTGAGCTTCTGAAGGGCTTCAAGAATTTGGACTAAAAATTCCTTTAGCTTTTGATTCTCTCCTTGTACATCATTGTACCCAATCAAGCCGTTGCCTTCTACATCGTTATCCTGCGAATCTTGACGTTTAGAAGGTATTTGGGAAATCTGGCTACGGCTGAGATCCCTTTCATCCAGACTTTCATGGGAGGAGATCTGGGTACCTTTATCCCAGGGTTGACTCCAGTCTGAAGAGATTTTATGAACATTGTCAACGAGGTTTCTCTGCAAATCGCGCAAACTTTGTTTGAGGGCAAGGATCTCATCTTCTAAAGCTAAAATGGTTTTCTCAGCTTCGATGTTGTCCTGTCCTTGTTGAACTTGGGTAGCTTTTTTCGAAGGTGGTATGAGTCCCTGGCAGAGCTGTTCATTATCACGGGTAAGCCGCTCAATTTCCACATAGCTTTCAGCTAGCTGGTCCTGCAATTTGGCGATGTTCTTATCACGGGATGCGATTTTTCTTTTACATATTCGGACCTCAGTGACGGCATCGGATAAACCATATACACCTGCAGTACAATATAATGGTAGTTAGTTAGTTAAACAACTCAGTTAAAATAGATAACTAATTCTCTCTTCAGAAGCTTGTCGTATGCAAGGTCTATTATTGGCTTAAGCGGACTGTCTCCAAGCTCCTAGACTCTATCAACGTCAGCATTCACGGCTCCTGTTCGACATTACTAAGGCACTGCATTGCCAAGATGAGTTTGTTTACTAAAATAAAACAAAATTTATTGAATCCCAGCAGCGAAAATGTGAAATACACATTGTGCATGAAAATAAAAAGGTAAACTTACCCATTTCGTATTTTCTGGCCACTAGTAGAGCTTCTGCAAGTTGTTCCTCTCGATCAAGTAGTTGCTTTTCCAGATCAGCATTCATATCTTCTGCTATTCGTAAACGTTCCCTGTCTTTCCTCTCATCATTGTGGCTCTGGCCTTCAGAAACCAATTCGCCTTTTAATGTTTCAATAATACGCGTATTGTCTTCTATGTCCAACGTGGCTTGACCTAAATTGTCAACTAAACTTTTAATTTGCTGATCCTTTTCAGAGATCGCTTTTTTGAGCACATTTAATGTAGACGTAGTTGTCAAGGACAGAACAGAGTCTAATTCCTGTTGCAGGCGGACGACCCGAATTTGAAGGTCGTGAATTTCAGCATTTTTTGCTTCGAGTATCTTTCGCCACGTATCGAGTCGATCACCGGAGCTGCTCCTCGATGATCTATCTACGTCTTCTGGCTGGAGAGCTTCGAGCTCGTTAATCTTGTTCATATATTCGTCGACAAGTCCTTCTAAGGTGGCGATCTCTCGGCCACTCTGTTCGACTTGACGTATTAACGCACTATTTGTTTTTCTCAGATCCTCAATCAGATCGGCTGACTGATTGATTTCTATAGTCGCATCGCGGAGCTTTGCGCTAAGCTGGTCAATGGTACTTTTCAAGTCGTCATTAACACTTTCCTCCTCTTGTAAAGCAAGCATAAGCTTCGTTATTTGATCGTTCTTTTCCTTAAGCTTGGCGATGACCCGCTTTTCGTTCACTTGCCGTGTGGCATGTACCTCTTGTTTTTCAACAACCCTAATCTTTTCGTCTAGCTCAGTTTGAAGTGCAAGCATTTCTGCCTGCAGCGATTTACGGTCTCGTTCAGCTTCAGCATAAAGAGCTTCAAACTTTATCGAAGTTTGTTTTTCGCGTTTCAGCATTATCTGTACATCGTCCAACTCGTTCTTTAACTTTTTCAACTGACTCTCAACTTCGTCATTCTGAAAAGGCCGAATAAGGTTCTCAGATTATTATTATTTCAACCATAGATTATTATAATGTTTACTCTCCTCGGCAAGAGTACACAGATAAATGTTCCTTATAGAAGTTCAACTATTCTTTTCATTGGCCGACACTTGCAACGGCATTTTCTCACATACATACCATAGATGGACATGCTACTAATATTGTGAGCAGAACGGTTCGCTTGCATTAGCTTTGATATAAGGAGCCTGACTAGTGTTTTGAGTATATTTATTTTATAATAACAACTGAAAATGGTTTCATTTGAGTACGCTGTTAAGCAACTATAAGGCTAAACGTTTGATGTTGCTCCGAGCCTCACCTGTAAATCACCGCTTTTCAGCCGCGCAATCTCCTTTTTCAAACGTTCATTTTCGTCAGCCATTCCCGAATATTTAACTACAGTCTCGAGCTCCTCGATAGCCGCTTCAGCCTGCATCGTTTTAATTTTGATGACTTTCTGCGCCACACCGACGAGTGTTTGTAGATCGTGCACGTCTTGCACTTCATCGGCCCCCTGTAACTTATTAAACTCATCTGCCGCATCTTCGATTTTCTGAAGTTCAGACTCATCAGCATGCTCCACATTTAGCGTAGATCGAATTGACCTTAGCAAAGTCCAATCCAGAACAGTCATCGTAGTACTTCGAAGTGCTACACTTCTGTCATTAATTTCAACCTAAATTAGAGAGGAGATGTTTAAAATCGAACCGTACATCGCCTTTGTTGGCTCTCATACAACTATTACTCGAACTCGGCTAGCCAACGAGAAAATATTTTTAATGCAAAATTAAACCCCTGGGGGAGCGAACCCACAAAGCGTACCCGGTCTCCTAGCAACACAGTCGAACACATTCGACATTGTTTTGTAATAATGCATGTACTATAGAGTTTCCGGTGAAATCTTTAAACCCGATTTATCAGTATGAGAATCAACTGTTCGACGACAGTTTAACTTCTATGCGCTGAATTTTAGTGTAAGTTCATATTATATTAGACCGCACGTTGCATTTATTTGTTTCTCAAAATTAATCGTTTCAGTAGGTCTATTAAAAGTCGCCGATACGTTGGATATCGTTGAGCTTCGCCATTGCTCTACTTAATTACGAGCATTCTTATAAAACATAACAGGGACAACTATAGCCTTTGATTATAATCCTTTATGTAAGCATGGCAGTTGCTAGAAAGTTGTGTGACGTCTGGTTCCGTCGTTTAAGCACTCGAAGGTTCCAAATTTTTACATATTGTTTGTTGATGATCGACTTGTCTGTTGTGAATTGGGCATAGTTAAGTAGATCTTCGGCGCGACCGGCATTCGAAGATCGAAGGTTATCAACAGTATACCGCTTTTCTATTATTTAACTTTTGCAGCGATGCTTATTGAATTGCAGAAGCTGTGTCAAGCTCCCGTACCAGTACAGAAAGCACTGTCTCAGCGGATGTTCTTCAGCGAAAAATTGTCGCATCGGAATCTGACTGTTACATTTAATCAATCTTCTGCTTAAAAACATTTCATCGTCATTTTACGAGCAGGGCAAAAACTCTAACAATGCACTTGTTTAATGCGGTCCACTGTGCACTGATATTTTCATTCGTGCATTGAATAATCGTACACCGAAAAATGGTGTGTGAAAAATGCGAAAAGAAGCTGGAAAAGGTGAGATGAAAAAGAAAACAACGAAAAATGAATCAAGTAGGTGCACAGAATAGTGTGCTATCAGAGTAAATAAGGCACATGACTCGTCAGACTTTGTGTGTGCCTGTAACGTATCATTTGATTTTGTAAATATTCGTATTTTGAATTACATCGTAGTGGCTTAAATAAAGAATTACGGTCAACTTCTATCCTCAATGCGGAATTGATTCTCTAACATTACTGAAAAATGTTACCCGAATAATGTATTAGTGAACGTGTTCATCCTAGTAAGCCTATTACTGATGCACAACAAACTGACCGTAGAAACAACAGAAGCAATCTCAGCGTAACCATGAAGACTTTCACGGTTAGGTAATGTTAAAAAAGCAAGTCTCTTAACTAATTGAAATGTCTCAATTTACAATGACTCGTATAGGTTTGTACGCCGGAGCCGTGGAAGGCGGGCTCATTTGCTGCGGGGCCAGCTGGTACCTCAGGTGGGCGCAAACTCAACGAGAACAAAGCACTAAGTCAACGGAAAAACAAATTTAATCCATACACAACATCTTTTAATGCCTGTCGAATTTGTAAAACAAAGGTACGTGCGTGCATGCGTTACGTAGGAAATCGTTCGATCGTACACTGACCTTCATGAAGGCGAAGGTGGAACGGTCGAGCTGTTCACTAGATCGAACAAGCGCTGGCTTCAGTACTTCCTTGTTCTAGTATAATATAATATGATCTATTGTAATAACCTTGTTCTATATTCTAACGACTGGAAAACGTAAAATTTGAAGATTCTTTAAATATATAAAGACAAGGTATTGAAGGTTCATGCAACTTATTGAATGAACCAAGTTTTGTATATTTCATTACACTAAAGTTTCATATCTTAACGGATTTAATAATATATATATATAGGTATAGATACCTATATGGCTACTAGGGGTTTGTGTCGAACATGTGTGGCCATGGACAACGCTGCATTTTGTTACCATAATCACATTGGTTGAGTAGTAACAGCCATTAAATAGTACAGAGGCTCAACAGTGTGTGTATATAATAGATACTCGTGCCGACAGTTTTGAAGACGGGTTCAACAACTCGTATTGTTAAAATTAGTTTTTTCTAATAAATATGCCAATGCTTATAGTTAAGTAGCGTACATCAGCGTTATTAATTATTCATTAATGATCGAATAAGTAATACCTGCAAATTCGTGGAGGTCAAAGTTGTCTTGTAATGTAAGACGGACGTAAAGCTTCCTCTGTCTAACCAACCAAGGTTGTTTTTTGTAATCAGGTGCATCAGGTTGGCTCGCACTACTGTCAAGGTTGTGCGTACAAAAAGGGAATCTGCGCCATGTGTGGAAAAAAGATACTTGACACGAAAAACTATCGACAGAGTTCTACTTAGTGTGCATCATGAAAAGTCGTTCAATGAAGAGAAATGTCAAATAAGGTGTGACAATTATATGTTAAAGATAAAAAATTCTCCATCTACCTAGTCGTATTCGGGAGTATGTTCGTGAACCATACATTTAATATGTACATCAATTGCATATATGTAAAATACATTCTGTGTATATGTGAATAAAATTAGCTGCATTTTTGGCAGATGATTTAGCGGTCTTTTTCAAAATTTCAAACTATTGTGGTTAAATGCTTAAGAAAAAGAACACTTATCGTATCATCGATCATCAACAAGAACGATAGTTAGTGAATAGAAAGTCCATGAAAAATATATTTTAGAATAATACGCATTTCTTAGCCAGCAGGAACTTGAACTTTTTTTTTTTGGTCTTAACTTTAGCGACTTTGTGTACAGTTTTAAAGGCCGAAACGGTTTTTCACTGTTTTTTTTAAAAAGCTAAGTGAGTATTGTTCTGCAAGTGTCTTAACAGTCTCTCCACAGACAACTATAATACTGAGTATACCAATATTATTAAAACAGAATTTTATTCGTATTGGGTAGATGTAACGATGAGCTGTTTTGCTAATGAAAACCGCAACCGAACTTTAAAACATGCTGAGTCAGAACTAGATGGCGAATCTTAATTTCGTGGCTACGCGTTCAGTGACGTACCACCTCCGACACTCATATTGAAAAAGTTTAATAGAGCTGTTGTAAACGACAGTTCTCGTACAATCATAGGGCTGGTGCAAATTATACCCCTTCAGTCACTGATAGAAGCAGAAGCATCAGGCCTCTTTCCTCAGCCAATTGAAATACTGGCTTTCAGTGTTCTATTCATTATTATTATTCATTCTGTTTGTGTCTTATGCCGAGAAAGTCGGCCCGTTAAAAAAAAAGTGCTTTTTAAGTCCACGTATCAAATAGGTACTAAGAAAGGTGTTATGTCATGCCTCTAACCACTATGGGTATACGCCACGGTGTTCAGATGTAGCCATGTTGTATTGTCTAAACGTGCTTTGTTGTTTACCTAGGACCGATGAATGGTATTCCGGCATCTTGCTAAAGCTAGCACTTTTAAACACTTTTAATCTGACTCTGAACTTTTAACTTCTCCTGGGTCATTTTTTTGGCTGAGCTTTTTATGCTTTCCTAATTAATGTGATGAAAATCAAGAATCTACACCTAGGTACAGAAAAACATCCCTAGAAAGCTTTTTTTTCCAGGTAAAATGTATTTGTGTAATTTATACGAAAAACATTAAAACTTGAATTGATTAGAATTACCTGCTCCGACATAGGCAAAATAAAAACAGGTTCGCGTAAAATGTCCAAATAGTTGTCGACATTATAACTATTGATATCTTTATACATCTTGTAGCGTATAAATTAGCAAGCTTTTTGTTTTTAGGTCTTCGAACGGATGTGAGCAATGTTGTTGCTATATCGGTCTCCATTTATATGCACAATGACGCATCAAAATTAAGAATTTTTCTTATTTTTGTGACTAGAACCGTATATTAACAAGAGCAGCTATTTCAGCGATTTTTTTGCATGTGGCAAAAATTCCGTTTTTTTTTTCGGCAAATAGCAAATTTGCCAATAAACACTTGAACATGAACTTCATCTACTTACTCGATTTACCTCGAACACTGTTCGCGTTAGCTAGAAGGAGCACATATGCTCATAAAGACTCTAATGATCCAGTCAGTTTTGTGATGTGAGCCATGTCTTCGCATTCGACGTAGTATCATGCAGGCAAGCTGTGGAGAACACACAACTACGTAGCCCTGCTGGCATTTGACGCCGCTGCTGATCCATGACGACTCAGCTGGCACCATGCAGGCCTACCTAAATAATCTGATTTTTGCTGCTGAGAAAAGCAATCAATTTTACCTAAAACTATTTACACGCTTATCAAAGCTTAGACCTAGGACATTCATGATCGGTTTATAATATGGCATAGCACGGCTGCCATGCTTGAAGCGACGTACCCCAGTCGAACAAACACAAATCGATATCCTATCTGACGAGCAAATAGCTGAATCTGAGTGCTTTGAACAATACCTAACCATATGAAAAAAATACGTACGGAAGCGGTTTGCCAAAATGTACTCACAATCCTTCAAAAAGCGCTGATCAGAGAAATGTTTTTAACTACCTTAAACAGCTAGAAATGGACGTTCTCTATTTTGAACGCTTGAGCTCCGTTGCCAGTGGGCACGCAGGCTTTTACAGAGGTAGAAAACTATATCTCATATTTATTTCTAATGGCAAATTGCCAACATTTGTTCCTCGAAAAACTCTCTGATGCTATGGAGGTTGCGGTTTACCAAAAGCGACAGTATCGATTCTGGGCAATTGCCAATGAGCACATTTTTCGCGTACTTAAATAGTGATTGTCTATGTACATTTACAAAAAAGGATTAAAAAGCATATCAAAATACGAAAGCATTCATGTACGTCCCAAAGGAACAAAAGGTCAATATGACTATAGTAGAAAGGGTGTCCCAAATTATTGTGCTTGCTGAAGGCGGCATCAGGCAGATTAAAGCTGACATTCTGTCGAAAAAAGCGATAACTTGAATTCATTACTGGCAAAGACCCCACCGGTGCGTCCTTGAGTGCAAAAGAACGTTCAGTACTTTCCCAGAAACCAAGAAGCTCGACGTCGATAGAAAGAACGAATGGCCTTGCAATTAAACATTAATAATTTAAAATCAAAGGAATTATTCCGTAGAAATTAATGAACACCTTCAAGGTACCTATAATAGTGCTTAAATTTAAATAGAGTATTTCGAAAAGTGCAGCTTGTACATATATACATTTTTTGACTAACGAGGACAGTTTTAGAAATAACTGGGACAGTAGACAATGTTCATGTCAAAATTTTTGCCCGTAAATTTGCTGCAAAAACCACTAGCTGGTCATTTTTAATATGCCTCTTTTTTAATCGATGATTTTACCGCGCATCAAGCGACGTTGTTACGCATAAACTCGCTAAGGTATTGCTCGAATACGTTACGCTTAAAAAATTGCAACGAATTTAAGCCTTGGGCTGATAGCAGGCCAGAAATTCTAAAAATGCAGAAGCCAACGGCCAAAGGGTTTCAAAAAGACTAATCATGAGCATTTCTGGACCACCCAAAAGGCGATTAGTGTTCTCCTTTCTAAAACGGCCGTTAGTTTTTGTATCAAAAGGTGCCTTTTCAGACCTTTTAATGACTTGTCGATTTCTTCAAATCTAACCCTTTTAGTCGATTTTTCAGAAGCCGCATGAAAGAAAAAATTAGAAAATAACTGATCTTCGCTAAAGCCCCACATGGTTGTTCGGTATGATAAGCTTATTGCTTTGCTTTATCAACAACTAACTTTTTTCTTCTGCTAGGGGTAGCGGACGAGCACATGTCCGTTATGAAAAATAAACCACCAACGATTTACCCAATTCACACGCATCATTCCCTCCCGTATATATATATATACACATGTATATATGAAGGGAATTAAAAAAGGAAAGGTCACCTCGAAGGTGAGAGACGCTACTACGAACAATATTGTAATAAAGAGTTAGTATACAGAGGGTACGAAATGGCAGCTCGATTTTGGTCGTTACAAAAAAAAAAGTAACTTCATTCTTCACGCTTACTTGCCTACCTGGACGTTCCACAGATCATGGCCTAAAAAGGCACATGCTATCTTTGTGGGTAATCATTGTTGATATTGTTCATTTTCATCAATAGTCGTTATTAAATACCCTACTATAAAATAAGCACGTTTTTAATACATAGGTTATAATGGTTACGATATATAGAGGAATGGGATAATAATTTAAAACAAAAAGATCCGTTATCTTTTCGACTATAAATAGCGAACGAATAAGAGAAAAGGAACATGTTCCTTCCAAATGATCTAGTTGTACCGACAATAGTTTAGATACATACGATAAGTTAAGCTTCAATAACTTATAGACAGTATTGCGATCTCAATAACGGAGCGCCACAGTTGGAATAGGTAATATAAATTGCGTTGCGTACCTTCAGTACCTTATTCCAAACTTTGTTGAATCTTTGGCTTTTTCTTCGCTTATCCCAATGCAGCACGTATATTTTCGTAACATTTTTGAGTGCAAGTAGGGTTTATGTGGACAATTTGACGTACCCAAGTAGCACATCAAAGTAACTTTTAATGCTTTCAGTGTATGGAATCTGTTCCTGAAAAGCGGCCCTTTTTTTCCAATTCATACAACGACAAAACACATAACTCGCTAGATAGTAATTACGCTAGCCGTTGTGCATGGGTTACAACTGTCTGTCATTTATAACTATACTCTATATATGGAAAAATATTGCCTAATAGAATACAATGTCTGCAAGTACGGATGATCTGTTGATGGCTAGATGAATATCAATTAGAAGATAGCGTACAGATGTAACTAGCCTAAGGTGAGCTAACACGCAGAAGAACAATCGCTGATTCGTATTCTATTTCTATCATTAGCGCGATGGTAAAGCGATGAATGCAGTGAATTTGCCACTGTAAGTTTTCAGTGTTTTCTATCCCATCCTAATTCCATATCAGTTGGTCAAATGAGTGCGAGTCACAGAAAAGCTTTACTTTAGGTTTAATTCAAGGAGTCCTACAGTACTGCGGGTCATGTGTCCTAAATCGTTCTTAGTTCAGGAGGACGAAATTGATATGGAAAGCTATACGATTTATTGTTCGTGTACCATTCACGTTTCGTATAACGGCGTGACCGAAAAAATTATGAACTAGACAGAGTGATCAATACGGACTCCGGTACCGAGTAGATTGTCTAGTGCTATGCCGAAAAAAATCTCCCACTCCTTTTGCTGTGCTTGAATGCAACTACCATATATTTTGACAGTAGAATTAATGTGCATTATCGGTCCGGCAACTGTGTTAGTTTCTCTGTCATGTGTGATATATACTGACCGAGCGAACGTATACATAAGCCGAATGTCCTTGTCCTGAGTATGAATGACATGATTAGGCGTGCTGGTAATATACTGTGCTCGGTAAACATATCCGTATAGCAGAACAAGCCTATAAGATGACAGCAAGCTGCACTTACGGCCATCACTCTCTACTTCTCTTTTACACATATTCTCTTAAGCTAGCAAAGAACCGCTCTAGACAGCCAGTTTCAGGCTATGCAGCCTAAATCGATCGCAGGGACTCTTT